ACATTGATATTGGTATGAAAACAAAACATATAATTCTTAAAAATTATTTTATTTGTTAAATGATCCATGCAGAATGTATACACTGTCCAATGTGGTGGTAGTATTTGGTAAAATTGATAAAGGAAGTGCAAGATCGATTAACACKTTCAATTACATTTGACGTGTAATTTTTACACTAACTTACATAATATAATATGCAATTGTTGTAAATTAGTTTTTAGGGATTTAAAATAAATATAACTAGATACACGGGAAGATGGAAAATTATGTATAATTTTAATTTTAATCTTATGATGAGGTTTTCAGTTTCTAAACTCTATATTTTCACAATGAATTATAATACATTATGATTGCGTTGTGTTCGTCTGTCTTGTCTTTCGTTGTCTTGGTTACAGACACGGAGTGGCGCCGCTGTCCATTTTCAAGTTTTGGGAACATAATTGCTCATAATTATGATGGGTCGTATGAATAAATTTGAACATAGTGGTATATATGCGTTGAAAAGCTGATGACTGGGTATATTTAGGCGGGTTTTARACTAGTTTTAATTATTATTGGCGCCACTGCATAGTCAGCTACACTATTATTGATTTAACAAAAATATTGTTTAATGATAATTGCCAACTTTTGGCCTACAATTTTGAAGGTATATTGTTTAGATTAGTGTGWCGTAAATTATCATGGTGATATAAATTTGAACAAATAAATTTTCATTAGGTTTTATTATTTAGGTATTAGGTTTTGGGAGGTTGGTATCTAGTTATTTTTATTTTAGACATATAATATATAAAGTTAGGTTAAAAGTTAAAATCACCACAGTGCCCTGCATTACGGGACAARTTGTTTATTTATTTTTCAAAGTGTTTCATAGTCTAAGTTAAGTTAATTGAAAAACAAAAACAACTTTTTGAGTTAAAATGTTCTGTTTATAATTTTTCTTAATTACGTTRTTTAAATATTATCTGCTACAAAAGTTTTTTTCGTAAAAATTACTTGTTAAGTTAAAAGTTATGGAAAATTCAGGAACCACAGTAACTCAATTATAGGCAACTGCAAAGTGTGTTTGTCCTCATATAGTCATATGTAATTCTAGCTATTCTACACTTTTCCAATATTTCATAAGTTTATTTTTTGAATTCTCTTTTATTCAGATACATTTTGGTTTATTTTTATATAACTATTTAAATACATTTATATGTTTACCTTCATTTTCTGTTTCATCGTCACCATTATGTTGATCGGTTGCCGTAATTGCTGTTGGCCACATAGTTTGACGTTGGATTACTTCTACACYTCCTCCATTACTACCCTCATTACGCCTGAGTGTAGGTGGTGACATTGGTGTTGCAGCAGTAACAATTGAAGCAGCATTATTGGTTGAATAAATACGACTATCTCCATTTGTGCCTGTTGGTATTTGAACCATAGACGGTTCTTTTGAACGCTGTACATTCATCGAATCACTGCTTTCCTCATTCTTGGTGCGAGATAATAGCTTTTGTTGAGGCTGTGGACAAATATTGAAAATAACATTTAATTGTTAACATTACCCACACAGTTATTAGAGCTCTTGAATGGAAAAGTGAAGTATAAGTTTGTTTCTCGTTTGATTTAAATTTTGTTTGTTTTATTATTAATAACTATACATAGGTAGATACTGTATATTATGTGCATCATTGTGCGTGGTACATAGAAAAATAAGTAAATAACGATGATATTTTGAGCTTACTGTTAAAAATGTATGTTTTTTGCTATTGAGGTCAGGGGACTGCCATTTTCGTCGTTGAATATTATTATATTGATCTGCTGTAACTGTATCATTATTAATCACATTACCATCGTCTGGAAAAAAAAAATATTAAATATACGAATAATTCTGGAAATATAAAGTTTAATGTAGTTAAATAAAAATAGTACTTACAATTATTATTTTCACTACTAACATTGTCGGGAGTACCACTGGCAWTAGTCGTATCATCAGCTGTAGTTAGGTGTTGTTGAAAATAACGATTGAGTGGTAAGGGTAACGACGGTTGACAAGTTTGATTGAGCTGTTGTCGGTTAATATTTTTTTGTCGAATATTATTTGTTGAATGATATAATAATTGTTGCTGTAATTGTTGTTGCTGATTTGAAGTAGGAGTTGTGATTGCAGAAGAAACCATATCATTAATAGGAATGGCCAAAATTGTTTGAGTCATAATACCTTTAATGTATTAAAATATGTGAGTTTATATTATTATATTATAATATACCTGATCAATTATTCATAACAACAAAAATTTTAAATTTTTTTTGTTTTTATTACCTCGAGCTGTTGGTATTAGCAATTGAGCTGCTTGTAAGCAACCCGTAGTAAGTTGACCAGAAGTTAACAAAAGTTGAAGTGGTGGTGCTGTGATTTTTYCATCCTGTTGTTGCTGCTTTTGTTTATTATTGGCTGAGGTAATATTCCAAGGAAATGGAATTTCTGTTGTTGGTATGTTATGACCATTGACCATATTTTCATCTTCATTAATGGCATTACCAAAACAGTTTTTTTCTTCGCTATCGTTATCATATTCTCCTTCGTCGTCCTCACTCTTGTTGCCACCTTCTTCTGACGATCCTATAGTTTAAGATACATACTCGTAAGTGTATACATATATACATAATAATACAATGATTTTCAGTTGTATGTATTGTATTTATAAATATATGAATAGAACTCAACAAACCTTGAGAACGGGTTAAGTTCAAAGGTGATTGAGACAAACAATCATCATTACTAGTTTCACTGTTAATATAATTGGCTGTTACCATATGATCATGAAAATCAGTATCTGCCGACGGAATTTTGTCATTAATCTTTGCATTTTTATTGAGGTTTTTAACTGAACTTGACAACAAAATCGGTTCATCTATTGCAATAGTTAATTAATTAGTAAAATTGAATAGTGTAATTATTAAAATTGTAAGCAATATATAATGTGGGAATATTTAACTAAGTAAAAATAATCTTATGCTGAAATAAATAACTAAAAATTTACTAAAATATCTTATACACCATATACACTGATATAGATAGGTTATGTATAAAAAATCATGTTTCATGTTTCATGTTTCTATATACCTACATTATATTTTTATTTACGAAACTCTCCTACCTTAGCTGTTATAATATTATGCTTTAATCTTTTTGAGGCGTGTTAAACAAAAAAAAAACACTAAATATCAGTAGTCTTAGCCTTACTTTTGTAATATATACATAAAATATAAATAAAAAGAATATGAGTGCTAAAAATATTGATCGTATTTTATGATTTTATATATAAAAAAACAAAAACAATCGGTTGTTTCTTTTTGTTAATAATATACAACCAAAGTAAATAATATACTGTATTCATAATATATATTATTTTATATTGATAGAGTACGGATAAGTCTGATATTTGATGAAGATTATAAAAAATGTAGGTAATGTTTTTCATACCACATCTAAAAATTGTCAAGTATGCCGATTTGGAGAATAGTACATTTGCATGATCATTAAAACTAGATATTACTTCAATTAAATCGATTTATTAGGTACTGTTATTTTAATGTTAATTATTTTTAACAATTAAGTGTTTTTCAGTTCAAATTAACAACAAAAATAGGAGTGTTCATTAAATTTCTGACTATCTCATTATGTTATATAATATTATATATTTTTAAAGCTATATTATTTAGTAGACCATAATATTATTATTTAGGTTCTTGAAGGTCATTATTCATTTTTATTTTCGTGAGGTCACGGTTGCTTTTTTTATAAGTTTTGAACCCTAATAATAATTGTCACAATAAAGTTTATCATTAAACATTATTTACTTGTAATGTCGAAGGTTTCACTGTCATTGTTTTTTTCAGAGTGAGATGACAACGATAATGTGATTTTATCATCACTATTGGTTGCTAGATGTTGTACTGCAGTTTGTCTTATTGCCGGTGCCATACAATCTCCTCCATTACTACAATTGTTATTATTGGCAACTGTAGTCGTCTGCTGAAAACCATCCTATTAAATAAGAGACGAATATATACATTTAATATTTTTATAAAAAAAATTAAAAAGCTCAGATTGGTAAAATGGTTATTAAAATGCACATATGATCAAAATTGCATTATTATATAAGTATACTGTATACTGTAATGTGTTGGTGTGAAAAATTAAAATGTTAAATGTGTATTTTTAGTATAAACTTCCGCCTTTGCTTATTTTTTTTAGTCAAATGAATAGGTAGTGATTTAACTATATGACATAGGTAGTAACACACTGGCCACGTCATATTTAACGCTAAGTGACTATACTTACAAYAAATTGTAATAGGTKCATGTTAAAAGCTCTTACAATCCATAAACATGCTTTACACATAAATATTAACCCTTTTATCGTCACCAGGCTGCTTTAAYGTCATCCTAATTTAACCTTTATCAACAATTTTTATGTATATCACTAATGTTAATAATTATTCTCTATGTAAATAAGTAATATAATATTAAATGTATCTATTGACCTAACCATAATTTTTTTGAAAATGTGATTGTATCATAAAATCCATAATACTTWAAAATTAATAGGTAGGTAATAAAAAAATATACAAAATCTCTAAAATCTAATGTAAATAGGACTTCCAAATTACAGCAAATATATTAGTCTAAGTCTATATTTTCTAAAAAAAAAAATAACGAGAGGGCAAAACATTCCGAGATTTTTTCGTTCCTATTGAAAGTCATTTGTTTTCATTGTTTGAAAACATTCATTTTAATTTTTTATAAAAGGTAGGTCTATATGAATATTTTAGAGTATGTAGGAAGGTACTTACTATAGTAATATACCTGATACCAATAAGAAATTATATCATTGCAATTCCTGAAGTATAGCTGTATAGVTAAGGTCAAATGTTCATTCTGATTTTAATCAAAATTGTTTCATTCAATACAACTCACGCATGGCACTTATAACGATGCCATTTATGGCCACTGATGTTAAAGAATCAAATAATCAACAATATATATAAAAAAAAAAAGTCATGTTATTTTATAATTTAATTTCTTCAATATAAAAATAAATTATATTTTGATAATAATTTGTAAGAACTAGTACCTATACAGACGTAGATTTACATTTTTCCCGATCACAATAGTAGGAAATCARAAGTTTCTCTCTTTCTTACTCATAAATAAGAAAAACATTTTGAGTTCCTTCTCTAAAAAAAACTTATTTCCGGCATTCTAGAAAATTACTTCTACTGCCAATACGTCAATTTTCTTCTTTAATCAACATATTAATAAAATTAAGATAKTGTAGAACATAATGTATTATGTTATGTAGGTATTTAGTATTAGTTATTTAAATATTTTATTGTAGTGCTGGGCTTAAATAAAAATTTAAACATGTTAAATAACATGAAAAAAAGAAAACTATAAAGCTTATAAAGTTTATAAGTGCAAATACAAACGTAATAAATGTAAAATTGCAGCTTCACGCCCTTATCAGAAAATAATGAGAATGTTGTTATTTTTAAATAATTAACTGTAAACATGACTATTTCAATAAAAAAATGCCCGTAAACTTTGTTAAACGTTCAGTAGGTACCAAATAAAAACATTTTATTTCTTGGGYCTTTTAAGTATAAAACTTTTAACAGGAATCATCATTGGTAAGTATGTTAGTATTGTGCAAACAGATCCTCCTCTGCTGACGGTTCTAACCAGGAAAAAAAAAAGTATGTCAAAATAATAGTTGGCGGCGATGTTGCTATATGACAACAATAAAATATTTCTAAAATATTGTATTACGTAAAATAATATTTTAATTCTAACTAAATACATTTTTATCAAGTCGTAATCGAAAATACATAATATAATGAAAATTAGATGAGCACTTTTAAAATAAGGTAAATATGATTTAGCTAAGGAATTATGAAAATTATAATTTAAATAGAAAATACCCGAACTTCATYTTATATAAGTAGGCGTATACCCGTAAAGTCTAAAATACACTAATAGGTACTTGGTTAGTTTAAAACAATCAAATTAGAAATTTTGGAATACAGTGGAACCTCGATTATCCGGGGTAATGATGGGGAGGGGGTCACACGGATAAATGAAAATCACGRTTAATCGAGACTTTTTATMATRATGAAATTYTTTATTTAATTTTAATTAGAAATACATAGGTACAATTTTATAATAATGAAATTTTAAAAATTTGATTCAATTATAATTAGAAATATACATAATGTACATACAATAATTTTATACAACAAGTTATTAGGGCTTAAAATATGAAGTTATCAGTCTTTGTTTTTTTTTTGGTTTGAAATAATTTTCCTTACTTCACTTCTAATTTTTCTTAAGCCAATAACGTCATGGAAGTCAAAATTTAAAACCTAACCGTCAAAAATGTCATTAATATAATTGTCGATATCGTGTATTATGTAATATAAAATGTTCGATTATAACTACATATATATCTACAGTCCATACTTATTTTTAAATTTTTGGAAGAGTGAGCACGGTTAATCGCAAACACGGATAATCGAGCCACAGATAATCGAGGTTCTACTGTATGTCCTTATGACTGCCAAAAAAAAAATGTTCTTATGACTTAAAATATGGACATTCGTACACAAAATAAAGATGAAATGGTTAAAAACAATCAATTATTACATTTTTRAGGATAACTAAATAACAAGATAGTACAGATTCATACCAAATTTATGATGACAATATAATTTATAATATCAACGTATCTGGCATATTTATTTGTTGTTATTATTCATATTAATATAAGTTAAATAATTAAATGAACTAGCTATGTTTATCATGGATATATTGTGTATTTGTGTATCCAGAGATTAGTTCAGATATATTACAGGGTGGATATTTATCCGAAATTTCATTCATCATCTACCCTCTTGGCGTATACAATTTTCAACGAAATGTATTTTTTAAATGTACTCGTCACGATTTTTTAGAACTTATCTAATCGTGTCCAATAAAGTTTGTTTTGTTATTATTTCTAAGTTAAAAATGTTTTGATTGAAATTGATTAGTCATGACAAATCAATAATTAAAAATATACAGCCGGTTGAAAAAAAATTTAGCTCACCTCTCCAGAAAAAATTCTGAATTGAACACTGTGTGTACCCACTACCCACCTACTATAATTTTAATATTATGTAGGCACCTATTGRAAAATAATTAGTAATCACCTGCATGTATAATAATATCACCATAGTTAAAATTCGATTAATTTCTAATTGATAATTACCTAATACAATAGCACTTTGAATCATTAAGTAGGTACCTACCTATGTAATTTGTTTATATATTAGCTATTTAACTAAATTATAGGTAATGGACACTATAATGTGATGATGACGATGATGACAATATTAATGTTCTATAGTCTATATAGCACAATTTAGAATAATATTAATATATCATATATTCAGTGTTAGATCTAAAGGAAGATCTATTTTATTATAATCTCGTCTTCGTCGCAAAATAAGAACTAAATTTAATTTAATTAACTAAAATTATATTTGATTTAACCTATTAATAATCTACTATAGGTACCTAATAGGTACTTATGTAAACGTACACTTTTAAATACAGTATTTTATAATTAGTGTAATGCTATATTATGCTATAACCATAATACAAATTGTAACCATTATAGTATACCTATAATAATCATCGATTTCAACGGTTTAAAAACAATATAACTGATTGAACAGAGTAACGGATGAAAAATGCACATAGAAAAAAATATTTTCACATCATAATTGATAATTGTTTTCATGTATTTTAGATACTGGACAAATCGAGAAATGTTATATTAGCCTTGTTAAATTATGTTTTTTAAATGGTTGATCATAAAGTTAATCAGAAGTTGACCGCGGGTGGACCTACTTTTGCCCAAATCACCATTATTACCTAAACGAAAAAACATTTTGGTTACCACTGTTTTTWAAAAAAAATTTTTTTATATTGAAAATGTTATTTCAACTTTTAGTTGATAAACGTTATGTCAATATACATTTAAGTATATAAAACATATGTCAATGTACAATTTAATAACGATATAAGTGTAAAACATTCTAAAGAAAATAGTAAGTTTATAAAAAAAAAAAAAAACTATCTGCAAAAATTATGAAACACAAATTAGATGTAAAACATGTAACAGCGAATTTACTATGTTTTTGTTTACGATGAATAATATTACTTTTGGGTGAAAACTAAATCACTTATTTTTGAATTTTATCAAGCAAGTTAATTTTTGCGAAAACTAAAAGGCTAATTTTAGGTTAAAACATGAAAACTMCTGAGGCGATCGCTTTAAATATAGTCTGTCCATTGATTGGAAATCGAATCAGGTATATATGGTATTTTAAAAGGGTAGTTTTCGATTTTATCATTATACCTTTTAAAGAATTATTGTATTTCCCAWCGTGAAAGATACGAAACGTTTTAGTAAGACATGTTTATAACTAATCGTTAATTTAACCTAACCTTATAAAATTCGTTTTTAAAATCACTTATCTGTTCAAACGTTTTTATAAATGATTTTTTTTAACCCACATTAGTAAATAAGTCGATATAAATCATAAACGAAAATGTATAATCCAATTAATTGTTGTTAGTGTATTGCATAATTTTACCGATATTTAAGGTTTAATTCTAAATAAAAATACATTTTGCGATACGAATATACAAGTTCTAGAACAAGTGAAAAATACAAAACTTGCATTACATAATCACATCTACGCTTCAGACATCACACGACTATACCTACGGTTGCGTAAAATATTTATCGTTACTGTCTTTATTATTAAGTAAGTTTAATGACGAGTTTAWAAGGCATGAGATAATTTTCTAATTGCTTGTCCGTAAAACATATTATTACAGGAATACATCACCAAGTTATCTTGTGCTGGATCCCGCTATTATTATAATCTATGTGGGCATTACTATTATATACCTACCTAACTACGACATATGTAATTG